GAGCGTAACGTGAATTTGTCCAGGGAACTATCTTTTTAGGGAAGTAAATAGAGAGTGAGGCCATGGGGCCCTTTAAAGTTCCATAAATATTTCTCCATAAGATTAACATGGGAAACAAACATTGTTATGAAACTCCAGCTGTTGTCAGAAATTAAAAGTGAGAAGAAGAACATATGTTAATTGTAAACAGTCAATAAGTTTGCTAATTTAACAGTTTGCTACAAACATTAATTACTGACTTGGTTGAAATGAAACATGTACTATTTGAATTTGGGTTGGTGTAAATATTACAATGTAAAAAGCGAGAGAGTCTGGATAATTTGATTGATAATATACTAAAACAAAACCTGAAATAAAACTGCTGCATTTCTTAGTAATCATTGAAAGAGCCGATTTGCAAACTATGGAAAAATAGGAAAGTCATAGATAGAACACCACCAAGGAGAAGAAATAGAAATAATGTTTTTTTTTAAGAATTTATAATCATTATTATGGACAACCTAATGCGGCTAAGAGTAAGGCTATTTGTAGGAAACTCCATAAAACAAGATCAGCCTTTCTCTCGATTTCAAGGATTTCTCTCGAGTGAGTCAATTGCTCACTTTTCTCACTAGTTGCAAAAATAACTATTGTGTAACTAGTGGGCAAAGTGGCACTTTGCTGCACACGGACACGAGCACGAGAGGAATGATCCTCGAGTGCAGCAAAGGCCTTTTGCACTAGTGTTACACATTATATTTTTTTTTCCTACAGTCACTATAAAGCATATAAATAATTAGTCTTTCAAACACTATACAACACGTTTTTAGGTTCAGCTGGCAACACAAATAGGTGCCCTAGAGAAAGTAGTACCCGGTCCGTATCACTCCGCTATTTTTCCTCGGCAAGAAATGTGCTCCGCGTTTTGAGAATATAGTTCCGTATGTTTTCTGTAATTTGAAGTGGTTTCCGCGCCTAAAAAATGCTTTAAAGGTATTTTCTTGTTTATTGAGATCGTAGGAATGTTTTAAAAACGTTTAAAAGAAAAGTCCAGAAAGTTCAGAAATACCGAAACTATAAACACGAAATGACAGGTTAATCATAGTTATATGGTAAATATCGCCAGCATCCAGCTATTTAGGGTTCACATTATAAACACTAGTCACCTGCTCCTGCACCACTCTTCTTTGATTTCTTTTCGTTGTAAACTTCATTTCTATATATGAATCACGTAGACTTTTTCTCTTTCATAATAGGTACCAAAACTAATTTTAGTCTAGGTTCAGTTGCTTTGTTCTTCGCAGGTCTTCGACTTTGATGATTTGACTCATTATGACCAACAGAATAGTTCTCTGTTTATGATTATTCTTGAACTATTTTTAAGTATGTGAAGTGGATGATTACCTTCCCTCCAAGGCTACTATCAAAAGTAGCCTTTGATCTACCCACCTGCCGAACCCCTAGAAAATAATACTTTAATACTTTTCAATGAAATGACGACCATACAAAAACAAAGTAGGCCTAGGTATTTAATTAGTCCTTCCCTGTCTACGATGACACTAGTCTCATTCAATGGAGATAAACAACTTGGAGATTATAAATTTGTGATAAGATTTTCAAGTCTTCAGAATAGATCTGTAATAAACGGTATCAGCATTCTGACACATACTTTCTCCCATAAGTTTGTCAAAAACCTTTATCATGTGTAAGCGGTGAGAGTGTATATACTGAAATGGGATTTGTACAATTTTCTTCAGAATTTAAAGGACTATAACATACTAAATTGTTATCAAAATTGTTCGTGCCAATTTTGGGAAAATCTTATTTTCTGTTATTTTATGGGGTTTTTATGGGAAAATAACATAATTTACAATAACTTTTGAACCGTAATTTTTACAGAAATGGGATTTGTACCATTTTGTTCAGAATATAAAGGACTATAACATACTAAATTTTTATCGAAATCGTTCAGGCCATTTTTGGGAAAATCCTATTTTTCCGTTATTTTATGGGGTTTTATGGGAAAATCCCCATAAAAAATTATAATTTCTAAAAAATGAAAAAACTATCAAAATTGTAAGGACCATAACATACTATGTTAAATCAAAACCGGATTTTTGTCTAAAATCCTATTTTTTGTTATTTTATGGGGTTTTATGGGAAAATAACATAATTTACCATAACTTTTGAACCGTAATTTTTACAGAAATGGAATTTGTACCATTTTGTTCAGAGTTTAAAGGGCTACAACATACTAAATTTTTATCAAAATCGTTCGAGCCATTTTTGAGAAAATCCGATTTTTCCGGTTTTTTATGGGTTTTTATGGAAAAATCCCGATAAAAATCAAAATTTCTAAAAATGAAAAAAACACCTGGAGCTACCATGGATTAGAACCTACATACCAAATTTCATCGAGATCGGACCACAGGTGTAGTCTCTAGCTCTGTACACATCCAGAAATTAGTTGAGGCTAAATCTTCCATCAAATTTGGGTTTTCTCCCATAAGATTAACATGGGGGAATCTAAATATTTAATTTCTAAACTTTGTCTCCACTAATTTAAGAAAACGACTGGGCGTAGAAACTTAGTAGAGGTGTCCAAAGAAATGTCTTGGTCTGTAGATGAGTTATCAAAAGAAAAACGAAGTAAATTCCCTTTTGAGAGTTACTGAACTGTCCAAAGGAAGTATTTGTAATGTTATTTTCTTTAACTCTTAGAGAGCCTTTGAATGTTATAAGGCTAACGAAAAAGCGTTGTGCATGTTTACTAGCGCTACTCAGCAACAAAAATAATTTAATTTATCTCTAAAAAACATATTCTTAAAGTGCACTGAGCAGCAGTCTAAAAAATAATATGTAACTTTCTTATAGTTACAAAATGCTCAAACTCGCATTGTGACATTAATTTATGAATCGGCTTAAATTTCTCCAACAGTTATTCATCTGCAGAAGAAGTTCAGTGTGCTCTTATCGTGTCTAATAACATCCAAACACAAAACCTTGCCTAAAATGGTACCTTTCTTGACACATTATTTGCAGTGGCCTATATTACGGACCGTGGCCCACTGGGTTGGTAACATCATTGAAAGTACCGGTAACACGATATTTTGGCTGGAAGGGTAAATACTATTTAAGAAGCTACTGTCATGACAGAAAGGTCATATTTCTTTTAAAATAGATCACATTATCCTTTATAAGTTAATTAACAATGCATGTAAACGTCAATATTTACGTAACAGCCAATTTACAGTATTTTTTTTTGAAAAAGCTTCCTACTGGAAAGAAGCTATGGAAAGTGAAATGAAGTAGCACAAGGAAAACCAAACTTGGACCCTGGAGAAACTGCCTGCAGGAAAGAAATGTATAACATGCAAGTGGTTATACAAAGTAAAAACTAATCCTTTAAATGAGGGAAAGTGTTAAGATACGTGATTAACTTATCTATCATTTAAAGAATTTTCCTCTATGTTTTTTTTCTTTCTCTCAGCTGTGCTATATTAATTATGAAGTTTTGTTTAATATGAGTTTGTAGATAAAAACATAACAAAAATGTCTAAACCCAATTTTTCTTTCCTCATCTTTAATTTCAACATTTTTCTCTTTGTAAATGCCATATTGCTATTTGATTTGCATTATTTGTTGCTAATGAAGCCACCCGACCATATAAACGAGGAGGCCCCCAACCGTCGATTTCACCTAGTAAAAATAAACGGTATCAGCATTCTGACACATACTTTCTCCCATAAGTTTGTCAACAACCTTTATCATGTGTAAGCGGTGAACGTAAATATACGGAAATGGGAATTGTACAATTTTCTTCAGAATTTAAAGGACTATTAACATACTAAATTTTTATCAAAATCGTTCGAGCCAATTTTGAGAAAATCTGATTTTCCGTTATTTTATGGGGGTTTTTATGGGAAAATAACATAATTTACAATAACTTTTGAACCGTAATTTTTACAGAAATGGGATTAGTACCATTTTGTTCAGAATATAAAGGACTATAACATACTAACTTTTTTATCAAAATCGTTCAGGCCATTTTTGGTAAAATCCTATTTTCCGTTATTTTATGGGGTTTTATGGGAAAATCCCCATTAAAAATCAAAATTTATAAAAAATGAAAAAACTATCAAAATTGTAAGGACCATAACATACTATGTTAAATCAAAACCGGTTTTTGTCTAAAATCCTATTTTTTGTTATTTTATGGGGTTTTTATGGGAAAATAACATAATTTACCATAACTTTTGAACCGTAATTTTTTACAGAAATGGGATTTGTACCATTTTGTTCAGAATTTAAAGGGCTACAACATACTAAATTTTTATCAAAATCGTTCGGGCCATTTTTGAGAAAATCCTACTTTTCCGGGTTTTTATGGGTTTTTATGGGAAAATCCCCATTAAAAATCAAAATTTCAAAAAAATGAAAAAAAAACGCCTGGAGATACCATTGATTAGAACCTACATACCAAATTTCATAGAAATCGGACCACAGGTGTAGTCTCTAGCTCTGTACACATCCAGACACACAGACACACAGACGCACACACACACACACAGACATCACTTCGAAAACCACTTTTTTGGGTCCAGGGGGACCCAAAACGAATATATCCACTCAAAACTCAAACTCGAAAATTTTGACAAAAACAATACTTTCTCCATATACTATGGTATAGGGGGAGAAAGTAATATAATATTTCATTAAACCATGGTGGAAGGAAAATACATAGGTGCGCTATTCCCGTCACATTCTGACGTCACTCGGATTGCAAACAAAAGATCACTTGATTGTAACTGTCAAAATTATTATGTATTTGTTTTTATTTGATTGTTATTGTTTTTATAATGCATTAAAAATAGTTGAATGTATTCATTATAAAAACAATAACAACCAAGGCATTAAACCTTAATATAATTGTCTTTTATATAGTACGAGAAGTTTAAGTACGATGACGTAAAAAATCATCAAGATCATTGTTTAAAGTGTAAGTCACGTGACCCACGCTAACCGCCATCTTAGAGAGTCTTATAAACACGGCAGACCGGGATTTTCACCATCCAATTATTGTATTAAGTAGAATAAATTGTTAGAATATAACTTATAAACATGTCAGAAAATAGTGCTGAAGTGAAGAGTGAAAATTCTGTTGAGAATGAAAGCCAGGTATTTTAGTTTTATTTCGAACAGTTGAGTGTAAAGTTAGTCAAATAAGTTCTGTGTAGGCCTACGGCAAACGTGATCGTTTAGTACGTAACAAGTTGAGAGATTTCCGAGTAATGTTATTTTATCAATTCTGTGACACGTTCAAAGAAGATATGACCATTAGAGGATTTAATAATGTTAACACTTTTATAACGCCCATAATAAGCACTAATTTAAGTTTAGTCGTACTTTTTACATGAACAAATTGGTGAAGGTCGGCCATGATGTTATTGAAGCAGCATCACCTAGCGGCTAATGGTTCCTTTATCTCGTATGCTACGGTTATGAGTTGCGCGCCTTTTTTAACAGTCATCATTCCTTAATAGTAACAAGTATTTTATTAGTTAGCCTAAGTAATATTAATCAATCAATGAATTAACCATCGATTGGTGTTTATAGGCTGTTTAAAAAAATTAATTTGAAAGAATAGGCTAGGCTGACAAATAAATTGTGAGAACAATAGACTTGAGCCAAGAACCAGGATTTGGTGGCTTCCTGTTCCTCACAAGTCTAACCTAGGCCTAGAACTTAGTTAAGTTAATATTCCCTACCCTATTACCTAGCAGGATTAAGCTTAAACTTACCTAGGAAATGCATATTTCAATTAAACTTAAATGTAAGTAGGCCTAATATAGCCTAACTTATTGGTGCGAACATGGCAATAATTAGTGCGTGCGCCGTAAAAAATTTAATGCTGGCCGTTTTGCGGAGAAATACGCCCGCGAACCATATTACCGATGATGTCAACAGATAGAGGAAACTTAAACGGACACGACAGTATCAATATCATGTACGTGGGGGGTAAAGTTAGCAATAAGTAGGCCTAGTGCACGTTCCTTAACAAATCTATTGCTAGCCGTTTTGGGGAAAATACGGCCGCAAATTATATTACCCGTAGAGATGGGAATTACCGTTACTTTTGAGAAACGCGTAACACCGTTCCATTACAACTTGGTAACAGGTTACAGTAACCTGTTAATTTTGTAACCTGTTACTGGTCCGTTCCTCCCCCACCACACCGTGACATCCAGGTGACATCCCAGCCCCAGCTCGGCGGGCATGTAACGAAATTCTCGCTGGAAGTTATTGCTCTACCCTGTTACTGGCCGTATGTTCAATCTGGCTCGGCTGGGCTGTAATGTTATTATTCCAGCTTGGCGTTACTCTCTGCGGGTGGTTTATTCGTTCTAGTTTGGCCGTAATGTAACGAAATTCTCGCTGGGTGTTATTGCTCTTACCATGTTACTGGCCGTGTTCGTTCGTTTCGGCCCGGATATACTGTAACTTAATTCTAGCATGAGTGTTACCTAGCTGGACGTTTCGTTCCAGTTTTTCCATAATTACTGTTGGTGACTAATGTTGCCACACTATGTACAGTTCTCGTGTACGTTAAATTCCGGCTGGAATGGAACGTTTTCTCACATTTTATTATTTTAAAGACTTTTTGTTGCTTTCAGGACTTTGATCCTGACGGAACCGGTACAGGAGATCAAGCCAATGAGCGCAGCGTTACAAAAATAACAGGGTATTCTGAGTAACGTGTTATCTTGATAACAGGTTACAATTTATTAACAGTGTTATTTACCCTGTTACGTTAAATAACGCCCATCTCTACGATGATGTCAACAGAGAGGACACTTAAAACGGACACGACAGTATCAATATCAAGTACCTGGGGAGTAAGTTAGGGGGGGGGGGGGGTAAAGTCAACAAAAAGTAGTGCGTGCGCCTCTTAAAATCTTAAAATCTCTTAAAATTGCTGGCCGCTTTGCGGATAACTTACATACGGCAAGACGGCCAGCAATAGATTTTTTAAGACGCGCACACTAACTTACTTATTTGCTGACTTAAAAAGTGTCCTCTCTCTGTTGACATCCTCGGTAATATGGTCCGCGGCCGTATTTTTCTGCAAAACGGCCAGTAATAGATTTTATTGAGCGCGCCCACTACTTATTGCTGACTTTACCACCTAACTTACTCCCCATGTACATGATATTGATACTGTCGTGTCCGTTAAAGTGTCCTCTATCTGTTGACATTATCGGTAATAACTTATGGTTCGCGGCTGTATTTTTCCCCAAAACGGCCAACAATAGATTTTTAAGGCGAGCGCACTACTTATTGCCAAGAAGTATATAACTTAAGTAAATACATAGGCACATTAGCTTAAAATAATCTAACTTTACAAAATTAACTTACATCTAACTTAGGGCCTAAGTTAGGTCCTTAAAGAAACAGAAAGAACAAAAACGGTAAGTTAAGTTATATATGCATAGGCCTAGGCCTACCTAATAAGTTAAAAGGTGACAATGGTAACCTAGGCTTATGTAATATTTATATCACCAGAAACTAGATTTTTACCGGTAACTTAGGCTAAACTTACCTGAAAACATTAGGGTAACGTTCATTTCATGCAACAATTTCAGTTGTCACAAAATTAAACTTAATAAGTTACTCAATCCACAATTTTCTTAATTTTCTGAAATGTCGTAAGCCTAAAATAGGCTAACTAAGTTGAGTTAGGCCTAGGCCCCAGACCTAATCAATCGTTCTTAGAGTTTTAACTTACGGTAGGCCTAGGCCTACTTTTCTGTTAAGTTAAATGGGAACATTCATTATTTTTTTCTCGATGGCCTAAATTGGTATTTTTGTTTTCCTTTTACGATCCATAACTTATTGTATTATTATCTGTTTTAATATCTTCAAACGCATTTAAATTACAGACAGACAGACAAACAGACGTAGAAAATAAGTTATGTCTAAGTTATACTAGGTTCAATAACCCAATTGAGTTATTCGTATTAAGTTAGAGAATACGATTAAAAACTACCGTAACTTAACTTAATCTTGTTTAGGCAAAAATAATAAGTTACCGTAAGTTTAGCCTGGAAGTTAACTGGATTAAGAAATGAAACTATTCAAAACTAACTTAACATAGCTAACTTAACCAAACTTGCTGTAGACTAAGTTACCGTTTCAAGATTCCGTTTGATAACAGAAAAGGCATGCTATCAAACGGAATTTTGAAATTTTAAACTTTAGTTACCGGTACAGAAGAATTCTCAATCTTTGTTACGTAATAGGCCTACAACTTGGTCAATGGCAATAAACTTTCTTATTTTTATTCTTATTAGTTTAGAACAGTTTCATTTCAATCTTAAGTTAAAATTTGTGTAGCGAATTTTCCATATAAGGGAATAATCAATTACCGCAGGTCTCATGGTAAGACCTAGACCGATTTACTTATTCAATTTGAGGTCCCCAGAGGCCACCGTTCAAATTCATATGGTCCGTTAACGAGATAACTCGAGCAAAGATGATCCGATATTGATGAAATTTGGTACGAATGTGTGAACCTAAATTTAAGGTATTGAAGCGTTGTATGCCCAACGGTTACGGAGGTAATTAAAAAAAATTGTAAATCTAAAATTCCCAAGTTATTTTTATGGAGAACTAGCTGTAACCCGCGGGCTTTGCCCCGTTTAACTTCTTAATTTTCAAGATGATCTCGTTTGCATGGCTCAATCACGTCCTGGTTGAAGTTCGTTCGCTACGCTCACTCACCTTTAGGTTGGAGCTCGTTCGCTGCGCTCACTTTCCTTCAGGTTAGCTCGTTCGCTACGCTCACTTGCCTTCAGGTTAGCTCGTTCGCTACACTCACTCGCCTCCAGGTTGAAGTTCGTTCGCTACGCTCACTCACCTTTTGGTTGCAAATTAGCTGTTGTCATAAATGTAAAAGAAATAATAGTGCTAGTGCTGCACCCTGTTGGTACTCCTTGTAACTTTAATGCTATTGAACATCATAGAACAGAACCAACTTGTTTAATCGAAACAGCTGTTAAGATTCATTGATTCCATTTCTCATAAGGTTAACATGGGAAACTCCAGAGCCACTGGGGCGGAGCCCGGAAGGATTTTTGGGATAAAAATATGCCTATATGTTAATCGGGAATATGAGCTATCATCATGCCGAATTTCACCCCGATCCGACCAGTATTTTTTGCGTTTACTTTTCCCATACATACAGCAACCACCTCTTTTTTATAATAGTACTAGCTGTTGTACCCGTGCTTTGCAACGGGAAGAGGACACAAAATAGAAACATTTTAATCATTATCTCTTGCATAATAGTTACAGATCCGCCAACGCTTTTAGAAACAAAAATTCAACTTTTATAGCCTTAATAGAAACGTTCAAGTTATGATTTTTAAATCTGGTAAGTAGTGGATACCACCATTTTGGTTTTGATTAATTTTAAATCTTGTGGAGGCTGACATGAGAAAAACTGACCAAATCTTCGAGTAAAACTTGAACATGATTTTCCAGATTTACCTTCAACTCCCTTAATTACAAATCTTTTGATTTATTATTGACATTTTCAGTTTCAATTTTGAAGTTGCAAAAATACTAATTATTAAATTTAAATATCTTTATATTAAACTCTTATTTATATTAATTCACAAATCCTTTCATCTTCAGTTTTTTCACTCACAATAAATCATTAGCAAAACTAAGTCAGCTGTTATAAACTTTATAAATATTGCTGTGCCTTATCAATACAGTCTTTTGAAATATTAAAGAAACTATAACCATAGGTACTATAAAAAATTTCAAACAAATAATTTATCATTAAAGACAGCAGACAAAACTAATATGATTATCAAAGCATCAAGGACTAAAAAATGTAATATAGCAAATACGGAATATGTTTCATTGCATCTCTGATTCTACTATACAAAAATATCAACAAACAACTTAATATACAAACCAGTTCTTTTAATCAGTTCCATAGTCCATTGCCTTTACATTTTCACACTTACCATTAGGAAAACATAGTAACAGATATTTCATTGATTTTAGAAACAAAAGAACACTGTGTAATGCTTAGTTTTATGATATTTTCCTTGGTTTAATTTAATCAGTGGTGTGGCAAAACACAAACAATAAATTTATCAAATAAA